TCTGCGGTTTGTGGTGAGGAGAACAACCGTCCTTCTGTGTCCCATGTTCTATCTCCTTCTGTGCCCCATGTTCCGTCTCCCCATCTGTGGCAATTTTTGAAGAAGGGAATAACCCAATTGCTGCCAATCCAGCCTCACCTCATCGTCGTGGTGTCCTTGTGCCCGTTAATCTTGTTCAAGATGACACTTTGAGTCAAACAGGACCAAGTGAAATNAATCTTGTTCAAGATGACACTTTGAGTCAAACAGGACCAAGTGAAATGACACCTGACGTCTTTGTGGCAGATAGTTGCCACAAAAGCAACGTGAAGAAGTTCAAGTGGAAGAAGTTGTTTCGTATCAAAAGGGTTAGTGATGAATCTGTGAACAAACCACCTGCTGCTGCCGCCGCTGCTGTGAAGCTGCCTGTCAAAATGATTATGAAACGGGTTGGGGAGCTGGTGGTGAAGGAGTACGTAAAGAAGGCATTGACTGATTTGTTGCCATCATGGATACGACATGGATGGCAAGAAGAGCACACAATAGGAACTAACTTGAATTGACCATCTCAAGTAAAAAAGAGACGCCGTATANAGCGCACAATAGGAACTAACCTGAATTGACCATCTCAAGTAAAAAAGAGACACCGTATACCAATAGACTTGACTTGATATGAACCGATAATAATACCATTCTTCAGCATTCAATCTGAGCACACTACAATGGTGGATGGTGTCTCTGCCAAACTCAACCTTTTCATAACCTTCATCTGCTACAGTCCCATTTGTGTAGTATGGATTCAGCAATAACCAATTCATATCGCTGTCCTATAGATTTGCATGATTTCAAGCCGAATACGACTTCGCATTCGATTCAACTAGTCTAACCTGCCACTTGATGCCTTGCAATGCTTTTCGCCACAACTGTATCGACACTGTTGGTATTTCAAATTCCTCTTTCAAAGACGAATCTTGAATATATTCTAGTGTAATCCTCTGATACTGAAGGGTTTTGAAACCAGTGTGTAGGTCTTGACAATATTTTCCCCCAATATACACCTTGATCGCGGATAAAAAGGTTCCTCATATTACTCATTTTTGTCAAGATCAAACAGCCATCGAAGCGATTCCAAACTCGTGGCTCGCATATTCATTAGCTAAGATTGTTTAGCATTTATTCACTCCCGAAATTATCACGAACCAAACTCAAAGTACAACTTGTAATGCAAGGAGCAGCCAGGATTGAATTCCGCGTGACAGTAAGGACAAACCGACCCACTATTCAAATACTCGTTACCTGTCAATTGTGTAAAACAATCGCCGCAAATAACCACTTTGTCGCTGTCTCGTACATGAAACTTGTCTATTTTATGGTCATTTAGTTCATCGTGGCATTTGAAACAGGGATAAAATGCATTTGGACAGCACTTAAATCGTAGTGCAATGATGTCCAAAGGTGAATGATAGTGGATACATCGTGTGTGTGTGTCAACTAGTCTTCCCTTGATGATGAGTTCTGAGTTAACAATGTGTTGTTGGGTTTGGTGCATATAGCCTGAAATTTTCCTTTTTTTTTTCTTCTTTCTTCTTGAGACTATGATAAATAGGCTGATTCTATAACTGAGGCTATGTGATGTGACGTTTCCTATATGACAGAGGTGAATGGAATCAACACGAGTCAATTCCATAAGTGACATCTAGTAAAAGCGCAAAGCTCTAAGCCTCAAAAAAAAAAAAAAAAAAATGTCGCACCCAAAAAAAGGAGAAAGAGTGAGGAAGTGAGACTGAGAGAGTGAGAGAAAGTGAAAGAGTGATTGTTAAAAGCAGTCCAGCAGTTCTTCCCCTATAAAAAGAACGAAACTAATCTGACAACTTTACCATATATATATTGCAAACTGAAGCTTATTGGACAAAGAATCCATCACAGCAATACATTAAATAAAAGACCCTTCCCCCTCTTATTTCAGAACAGTTCCAATTACTAATTCACCCAATATGTCACTTTCCAGATCGTCCTCGTTATCTCGATCCTCCCCATCCCCCAAGACTTCAATCATCATATCCAATTTTGCCAAGGAAGATTTTGTGAAACCAGGACCTGGCTCCTCGTCTCCCAAGCTTGTTTCCAAAACTTTGTCATTGGTTGATCAAATCAAATTATCAGTTTTGAATAAAGATGACGAGGTTTTAAATCACATCACATTTTGGTCAGTTTTGCCATTTTTGAGTCGTATAATTATCATTTTTGACAACGAGCAGGCAGCTAGTCAAACATTGGACTACTTGCGTGATTTATTGAAACCTTTCCCGTATCTCAAGTTGTCATTGCAAGAGAATTTATTGCAACGGTCAAAGTCACAAGATCAATTACAAGAGTTGAACTCATACAATTCTAATTTAAATGTGACCAAGAGTTTGGCTAACTTTAGGAGCTTCCATAATGATCCCAATAACGATTCAGAATTGCTGGAATATATTGAACCTGCCCCCGCTCAATTCAATGTTTTGTCAGATTTGTCGAAATTAGGAATAGACTTGAGAGAGTACAACAGCGATGAACAAATGAGTGAGTTGAGAGAGAATGATCTAGAACAGCAGGAGCAAGAACGGAGATCAAAGAGTCCAGGATCCGTATCACCAATTGCATCACCAAGACAGAGTGATTCGCCACAGCTGTCCTCGACACAACTGCTGCCTGTATTGAGGAGAAGGTCAACAAAGACATTGTTTAGACCTCGCTTGAATGTCAAAACTGGTGAAGATACTAACAACAATGTGGAGAGTCATGGATTGTTACAGTCGCCTGCCCAAATCAAACTGGATGATTATCCACAATCGCCAACAATAACATTAGATGAAACTTTTTGATCTGATGGTGTATATCATGTATAGGCCTATTTATTTTGAAAACAGCTACTGATTGAAATGGTTACTGCATCAGCACATGAAGGAGTGTATCCCGTTTGAGACTGGGTGATATTTCGTAGCCAGCTCTCTATCCAAACGTTGGCAAGGTCTTTATATTGCGTATCCTGCATATAGCTCTGTACAATAGGTCCTGAGCAAAAGAAAAAAAAAAATATGAACCACCGTCAACATCACCAACTAATCTATCCCAATTGCACCACCCATCACACACACACACACACACACACACACATATCGTCTATCCATTATGAGGTTTTCAAGTTCAATAAGCTGCTCATTGTTGGCATGCGTAGCAGTTGTACTGAGTGAGACTACTGGTGCTGGATATTCCATTGACTATCCAGTGGTTCGCAATATTGATCAACCAAAATCAGTGCTCACATCCAAGGAGGAACAAATATTTTTCGATACATTTCTTTCAAGGGGTACTCATGACAAGGATTCCATTAGTGTATCTATGATTCCAGTGATGAATAAACTATTGGAATATTCCATGTCTTTCCAACCAAGCCCAGACTCAGCTATAAAGAAGGGTGCTTGGACACCTGACCATAAACCTTTGATGATAATCAACATTGTTGGAGCGGAGTTGAACTCAGAACCAGATTTCGAAGCAAAAACGTTGCAGTCTCAGTTTGACTCTATGTTCAGCAAAACCATGTTACGTTGGGGCGACAAATTAACTGATGCAATCGCGGTTGATTCAATGACTCGAGGTGTTGTGGATCATTTTCAATACTTTGCTGAGCAAACAAGTAAAATCTGGCAGAGTCATCAAGATACCTTGAAACAGCAAATTATCAATTATAGTCCAACCAATGAGGAGATGTTTATTCGCGAATTATCATCGTTGGTTCATTTGCGTGATTACGTTAAAAATGCGACACTTGGCAGTGACAGATTCTATATTCAGATTTCATCACTTGCGTCAATTGGAAACAAGATTGGAAGAGATTCTACCACATATAAGCATGCAGTGAAATCTCTAGAAAACGTACTCGCCTCCCTAGCTAAAGAGTGTATGATTCTAGTTGTGGAATCACCAAATGCCACTGTAAACACTCATTTGCAAAAGAGATCAAAAGTGGGATTAACAGCTCCTGCATTCAAATACGCTAGCAAACAGGCCTGTGAAGTTGGCACTGACAAGTGCTCTGCTCATGGAGTATGCAAAGAGAGTAAAAACCAGTGGAGTTGTGTTTGCGAGCCAAGCTTCAACAAAACAACATCGAAGACTACCACTTGGGTTGGTCCTGATTGTGGTAAGAAGGATGTGTCCGTGCCTGCCAATTTGTTCCTTTGGACCAGTATTGCGTTGGTGTTGTCTTTAGTTGGTGGTGTCAAGTTATTGGCTAGCGTTGGATCGGACCCTTTGCCCGGAGTATTGGATGCTGCCACCCTCTCTACAAAAAAGACAATTTAAAACAAATGGACTAGTATTGTGGTTGATGAAGTTGATAATAGATTGAAACTGTGAAATGTGATGTATGTAACTAGGATTGATTGTAGATTTGGATGCGCCTTGTCATGTACTTGCTCTTGAAGTTTTGAATCGTAGAAAAAAAAAAGGACCTATAAGGTTTGGGTGACTCACTACAATGATTCAATGTACTACCAAAGATTGGATCTTGAGCTCTTCTATAGTACAGCAACAGCATATATTGGTCATGTCATTGACATTCATCATACACTACACATCATATGCGTGGCATTGGTGTTGAAGACTCTGGTGGGGTTACAAGTAGGCACTGCAGTGTCAGCACCTTTAATGCCACGCATCGATGTACGCTGCCATCTCTTTGGACTTCCATATATGGCATATAATAATACAAAAAGAATGTATTTCCGTAAAATTTTAGTTTTCTAGTGGGGCGGTGATAACTTACACAAAGAGATTGCTCAAAATGACACAATGATAAGTGGTGAGATTGTGGTGGTGCTGGATGGTGAAACAAGCAAGTGGGTCAAAGAGCAATAGTGATTACCTCCACTTTCAATATCGACTGTCGAATACAAACTTATGTGGCTTCACACAACATTGCAAACTTATGAGCCAAACAAAATGATGATGGATGGCAACAAAATCCACAAAAATTTTTGTCTTCTTGCCGAGGATCGGAGTATCTCCACCCCCTTGCCCCACACACAAAACAGGAAACTTTATAATACGCGCAACGGATCTTTCTATTGGAACATGCATACTAAAAGAATTGATCTTTGTTGCGGAGAAAAAGAGGTGGGGAAGGATTTGACATTTTGACTTAGCTCACGATCCTACTATAAAGAGGACCTCTTTGTCAGTCCATTCACGTCTTTCCAGTTTATCATAGAAAGTCACCATTGTGACTTTCGATTGTATTTTGAACATGGCAGCCTTGTTCAAAGAGAAACCAGAACATATTTGGAACACCATCTCAGAAGACTTTCCTTTGAACCCAAGTTTGAGAGATAGAGCTGTCCCACTTGCAGGTTCGAAAGTGCCAGGATATTCACCAATTTATAGAAACGTCTACTCCCAAAAAGAGTTGAAGTCGGTTCCCTATCCTGGCATCACAACTTTGTATGATACTTTTGAGCTTTGTGCTGCCAATAATGGAGACAAACCAGCTTTTGGTCATAGAGTTCAAAAAGAGGATGGTAAGTTTGGTGAGTATGTTTGGCAAGACTACAATACTGTGCAAAAGAGGAGAAACAATTTGGGATCAGGTTTGTTTTTCGTTTTGGAAAACAATCCATACAAGACTGATAGTGAAGCACACAAGAAGTTGAAGTATGACCCTTTGAGCGACGAATCTTTTGTGTTGACCATGTTTTCTCACAACAGACCAGAATGGGCGCTTGCTGATTTGATGTCGGCTGCATATTCCATCACAAATACCGCTTTGTATGATACGTTGGGACCTGACACGAGTAAGTACATCTTGAACCTTACTGAGTGTCCAGTTGTTCTATGCTCAAAAGACAAGGTCAAAGTTTTGGTTGAGTTGAAAGAAAAGAACCCAGAAGCGTTGAGCAATTTGATTTGTATTGTTTCTATGGACGATTTGACCACTGATGATGCACCGTTGAAGAACTATTGTCATGACCACAACATCTCATTGTTTGACTACAAACAAGTTGAGAAGCTTGGAGAGATCAATCCATTAGATCCGATTCCTCCAAAACCAGAAACCACATTCACAATCACTTTCACTTCTGGTACTACTGGAGCAAACCCCAAAGGTGTGCTTTTGACCCACGAAAATGCAGTTGCTGGAGTCACCTTTAGTCTCTCTGCGATTCCATTACCCAAACTTTACCCCACTTTTTATTCATTCTTGCCGTTAGCGCATATTTATGAACGGCTAAATCTTCACTTTGCTACAGCTCTTGGTGCCGCAATTGGATATCCTCAAGGTCGCTCGCCATTGACTTTGTTGGAAGATGTTCAAGTCTTGCAGCCAGACATTTTGTCCCTAGTGCCTAGGGTTTTGACCAAATTGGAAGCTGGTATCAAGGCGCAAACTATCAACAATGACGAAAACCCAATTTTGAAGAGCTTGTTCACCAAGGCCATTAACGCCAAGATGGAATTGATAACAAATCCTGCTAATGAAAACACCAATCCATCACATTTGTTGTACGATAGAGTGTTGGGTTTGTTGCGCAAAAAAATGGGGATGGGCAAACTTGTAGGATTCGTGACGGGTGCAGCACCAATCAGTCCTGAAACTGTGAAATTCTTGAAGGCGTCATTGAATTGTGGGTTAGGCCAAGGGTATGGTATGAGTGAGACTTTTTCCGGTATAATGGCCAGCTCTATTCATGAAACGGAAGCAAGCTCGTGTGGTCCGGTTTGTATTACTACTGAGGTGAAGACGAGAGATTTACCGGAAATGGGATACACTTCAAAAGATGAAGGCGGACCACGAGGCGAGTTACTAGTTCGTGGGCCACAGATTTTCCGTGAATACTACAAGAATCCAGAAGAGACTGCCAAAAGTTTTGACGAGGAGGGATGGTTCCACACTGGTGATGTTGCTCGTATAGACGCGAGAACTGGGCGTACTTGGATCATTGATAGGGTCAAGAACTTTTTCAAATTGGCTCAAGGTGAGTATGTTACACCGGAAAGGATTGAAAACACGTATTTGAGCTGTTTCCCATACCTTGCGCAAATGTTTGTTCATGGAGATTCCTTACGCACGCACTTGGTTGGTGTTGTGGGAGTTGACCCAGTTTCCATTACTCTGTACATCAAGGGCAGACACAATGAGACCATTAATGACCCAGCTGATTTGGTGAGATTTTTTGGTGATCCCCAACGCAAGCGCCAATTGTTGATTGATATGAATGCTTCTCTCGGTGACAAGTTGCAAGGTTTTGAAAAGTTGCACAATATTGAAGTTGATATTGAGCCGTTGTCTTTGGAGAAGAATTTGATCACTCCCACCATGAAGATCAAGAGACCAGTTTGTACCAAATATTTCAAGCAGACTTTGGACAAGTTGTATGAGGAAGGCTCGCTTATCAAGGGTGACAAATTATAGATTGTATTAGGGTTTGTTGAAGAATGTAGATTAGATTTTAAACGAGGTACATACTCTCTTATGGTGGTATTGTGTTTCCTGCATATTACATATTACCGCTTTGGGTGATTCCTGAGAAGAACTTTTTCGTATAACGTGACAAGTATTGATAAATTTATAAGAGATCCCGATTTAACAGATCGACCTTCAATCACACGAAACACGAAAACACACACCACCCTCTGTCCAAACATGTTGAACTACTCAAGAAGACCTATAGTCACGACAATTTCGCTAATCTCTATAATATGTGTCATTTATTTCATGTCATCATCCTCAAAAAATTTGGAATCTTCGTTGGGAAAAGTGAGGTCACCAATAAATTTGAATTCCGATACTTTACAATCTAACTTGGACACATTATTGCAGAGGCAGTCTGGCGAGGTGGGTAGTAATGTGCAGAAACCTTTGGAAGAACCAGGAAGTAAAGTGGAGAAGCAGAGCCAGCAGAACCAGCAGAACCAGCAGGCACAAGTTGATTCCGATGAGGGGGTTGACGTTGCCCAAGCATTTATGCCGAAAATGGCCAATGAAACGTTGAAAGCTGAACTAGGCCGTGCTTCATGGCGTTTGTTCCATACGATTCTAGCCAGATACCCTGATGAACCATCAACTCATGAACGTGCGACATTAGGCAACTACATTCAATTATTTGCTCAAGTTTATCCCTGTGGTGATTGTGCTCGCCATTTCCAGCAATTGCTAAGCAAGTACCCGCCTCAGACGAAGTCGCGTAAAACAGCAGCTTTATGGGGATGTGATATCCACAACAAGGTGAATGATCGTTTGGGCAAGCCTCAGTACGATTGTACAACGATTCTTGAGGATTATGACTGTGGATGTGGATCTGATGAACAAGAAGCTGACTCTACTTTGAAAGGAGAAACCATTCAGCATTTGAAAGGATTGAAGGTAGAGAAGGAAGAGTTGCAAAGAGGTGGTTGAGAAAGAGAATAGCCTACAAACTTGAGGACACTTTATTCGAGACATTTCTATTCATACACCTTTCTATTCATACACCTTTCTATTCATAATATTACTTCTATATCTCACGTAATTACACAACACCCACACCCACTGCTTTTCTGAGTTTGGCGTGATTGCTTGTATGAGTTGTATTTAGCAAACTTGTTTTGATCAATAGGTATCTTCCAATTGTAGGGAATGAGATAATCAGGAGTCTCTTCAACATACTTAATGATTCTAGAAAATGGGGCGTCTGTTAGTATGGTGTTCGGATGGAATTACAGTTTGAAAATTGACATACAATGAACAAGCATTTGAGGCGGATATTCTCTCCCTCTTCAATGTCTCTGTGAGTCGATTGTTTAATTCTTGAATCCGCCTCAATTTAATCTGTTGTATTTGCTTTTCGACTTGGTCATTCATCCTGATGGGGAGAAGGGTAATACAAAAACTCCAAAAAGGATAGCTGGGCTATAGTTTATCACCTGATTGATCATTCCTTTTTTTTTTTTTTAATCACCTGCTCTGTTTCTCTTGCAATTAAATTTAATGTAATTTTTAACATGGGCGACGGCGACGGCAACACCGCCAGAGGTTTGAGCAGTTTGTGTAACTGCACACTAACAACATGAAACATCATAAAAAAAAAAAAGTTTATGGCCCACTTTTATTATAAATCAATCAGTATTACAATGTCGACTTCTCTATACAAAGAACAAAAGTAGTATACAAATAGCAATAACAGTGGCTAAAATCAAAGTATCCCTCTTCCTCCTAGAATTGATCTTCAGAATGAGCACATTTATCCCTGGAACACTCTGTATAGTACCCAATATTGTCAGTTGAGCATTCTGCAAGTATTGTCGTTGATTAAGCAACTCATCTCGAGTACTGTATGCACTTTGCAATAATCTGTCAGCTATCGAATTGACATTGTCTGCCCGTTGACTCTCTTCCAAGATATACGAATCGGGGTCAGTGTCTAGTGGATTAGCTGGTCCGTTGCGTCGTTTGTGGTTCGATATATCTGATTGAACTGTGAATAGCAAGTTGTTACGATTTCGTTCCTCTGTTAAAGTTGAATCAATACGGTGGAATGAATTCTTGTGGTCATGTAAAATCTGCTCGTGACGAGTGATTTGTTGTAATTTTGATGTACTCAATTCAGTGGCGGTGGCAGATTCACTGATTCTGTTGAGCTTACCAACTATGGAGTCCCGTTTGGATAATGTATCGATGATTTGTTGTTTAACTGCCTCTTCCTCGGGCGAACTCTCCAACGATTGCGATAGCTGGTTCTGAAATTGAGAGTATTTCGCCAACAAGGATTCTGTTTGTTTTTCCAAGGTAAGTGCCTGGGACCTCACTTGGGTAAATGAAGAGGATGACATTGTATACGTGTGTGTGTGTGTGTGTGTGTGTGTGTGTGTCTGTCTGTCTCTGTCTCTGTCTCTGTCTCTGTCTCTTAAAGTGTTAGTTGGCGGTGTGAATTGCGTGTGCTGTTGATTTTCTTTTTTTCCCCCGTTCTCTTTCTTTGTCGTTTCAACTGCAATTCGTTCTTATTGCTTTCCCACAAACATGCATACCGAAGAACTCCATCGGGTCACTCCTGAGCCCGTTTTTACGTTGAAGAATGAAGAATTGATCCTGTCCAATGAAACTTCGCAACAACTGTCTCGGCGCTCTCATCATCATCATCATCATCATAACCTGGATGACGATTTAAACAAGCAGACAATATCACGATATGTCATCCCTGTACTACACCGGATCCAAAAATACAGTGCATATTCATTTATGGCGTTTGTGGGAGTCCATGTGACGTCAGTAGTGGTAGTCCCCATTATCCCAGTTGATAAAGAGCTCAAACAACAAGTATTCTCACTAGCCAAAGCTGTGTATCAAGATATCCCATTTTTCGAAACAATTGCAATTCTTGGTGCTTCAGTGATCCATATTGGTGCTGGGTTTGCATTGCGATTGGTACGGGGTTACAAGAAGCATCAATTGTATAAGAAATTGGAACTAAAGAGTCAAAAACATAGAATGCTGAACAATAACGATTCGTTCAATATTAGAGATGATGATGACGATATTGGATTTGGTGGGCTTTCCAGTATATTTGGATTGGGGTATAGGAAATCCTTCATTTCGAAATTGTTGGGAATTACACCGTTGCAATTTTCTGGGTACTTGTTGATTCCATTTGTGGCGTATCATTATTACAAATTTCGATATGTGCCCATGTCGATAGAGGGTGATTCATCCTTGATCAATTTGGATTATGTGTCATATGTGTTGAACTTGAAACATCCCAGATTTCAAGCTTTTGCGCTCACGAGTTTGGTTTGGGTTATGTCGTATCATGTAACCAATGGAATAATGAAGTTGAATTCATGGTATAGTAAGAAAAGCAAACGGATAGGATTGACAATTGTGAATTTGTTGGGTGGTTGTGGAATGATTGCCGTTTATTTATTCAAGAGGGAAGAGATTGACAGTGGAGATTTCCTTGGTAAAATATTCACCAAGTATATTAACTCGTACTTGTTGTGAGAGAAAGGGTGTGTCTCTGCAAGGTGTATATAATTGCATATGTATATGTATATATTTATTGATTGATTGATGTGTGTATTTAGTAAGGTGAAGTTTGATTGCAAAAATTATGACTACGTAACGACGGCCAACTGATTAATCAAATCCTTGTCATTGGACGAGGAGCAATGTCCCGTCATTATGACCGCGCGCACCTCCCAATACGTGATTAAGATGAGCTGGATCTAGACATGGAATGGGTAAGAGTTAGTGGTGCTCTACTACGGTTGACTGGTCTAAAAAATAACACCTAGTATCAACTATATTCCAAATATACACAATATAACTGAAAAGTATCTCCACGTTCTAGGTAGTTCATGTTGCATAGATACTAACTGCATACCCGCAATTCAACGTGCTTGCTAGCGAAGCAAACTCAAACCAAACAAAAGGGAAGATAGGCTCCACCTGCAGTGAATAGTCTGTAACACAAACAACCACCTCGTACGTGTCCAATTACCTCATCATCAATCAGCTTTGCAAAAATCAAATGAAAAACTCGTCACTAATTTTGACACCAACTTAAGCAGTGGCAGTGGCAGGTTCAGCAGTAGTGGCTTCTGGACCCAAAGTTGGCTTCTTCACCAATCTCTTTGATCTGTAGTCCTTGACAGCCGATTTGATGGCATCTTCAGCCAACATAGAGCAATGCAACTTGACTGGTGGCAAAGACAATTCTTGAGCAATAAACGTGTTTTTGATGGCCAATGCTTCGTCCAAAGTTTTGCCCTTGACTAATTCTGTGGCATATGAACTACTGGCAATTGCTGAACCACAGCCAAAAGTCTTAAACTTGACATCTTCAATTTTACCAGTCTTTTCATCAACCTTGATTTGTAATCTCATGACATCACCACAGGCTGGAGCACCAACTAAACCGGTACCCACGTCATTGTCATTCTTGTTCAAAGTACCAACGTTTCTTGGGTTTTCGTAATGGTCAATGACTTTTTCATGGTACGATCTCTTGAATATAGTGTTGGTGGAGGGTATAGCGCTGGTGGCGGTAGAAGCAGCAGTAGTAGTAGTAGTAGCAGTAGTGCTAGTGATTGATGGTGTCAAGTGTGAAAGTGCCGGTATCGACAGCCTGACAATGGAGTTTGACTTGAGTAAATTTCTGGAGTTTCTTATAATTGATCTTGAAATCATTTTGTATTTAAAGTGAGTTTGTCGTAGGTTCCTCTTGGTATGTTAATCAATGGAATTGAAGATGTATATATAGCTTTCTCTGTAGTGTAATTATGATGTTAATCTGTTGCTGTTGTAGCAAAAAGAAGAAGAATATGCTAGCTTAAAAGTTGTAAAATTTGAATCTGATAAAAAAAAAGTAGAAAAATTTAAAATCTTGCAGTGTGCGTGTGCGTGTGCGTTGGTTACATATATATATATATATAGATATATAGATATAAATATATAGACATACTATATGTCTTATATTAATCATCAATAGAACAAAAAAAAAGGGAAAAAAAAAAATTGGCCTCTTACATATATTTATGTGTACGTATGCATTATTATGTCATTTATTGTATGAATGTACACGACCTTAGTGTGCGTGTGTGTGTGTGTGGCTTTATCAGTTTCATCTTTTCTTTTTTTTTTCTCCCTTTTATGTCCATAGTACACTACCCGATTATTGCGTAGAATATCATTGGACAGTATTTCGGTCACTACTACGCATTTAACGTTCCGGATCCGAAACAAGGAAATTTCTTTTTGTTTTTGCTTTTGACTCTGTTCTCTTCATTTCCATCAAGTGCAAATGAATTGAGGGGAAAGAATAAATTGAAAAAAACAAAGGGAGTGTCAAAAGTATTGGTCACACCTGTTCCATCGCAACTACACTACACTGCACTGCACTACACTACACTACTCTCTTATAGTAGGGTTTACTCTACAACTTGATCTCACGTGCGTCTCTAGTGCACATACTACACCTGCTTAACGCTTCTCTATCGTCTAGATTAAGTCAAAAAGACCATCTTCTCGTAAAGAAAGCGTGCGTGGTAGCGCATATCATTGAAAATGATAATTCTTGTGTGCAAGTACACGACTGTATAAATTGGTAGCGCATTGATGATAACTAATTCACTGTCTTTTTTCAGTCCAGCATTTGTTCATCAATTATAAGAATCGAGAGTAGAGTAGCTCTTTCGGATAAGAGAATATTACAATCTTATCTTTCCCCTGTGTGTTCCTTTGCTCCACTTTTTTTTTTCCAATTTCAACTTCGTAATAATAAACCAACCACCACCCCCCCCTTTATTTTTTTTGCGCAATGACCCTGATTCTGTGTTTTAGTTCTGTTGTTTGTTATGTTTCGGTGTATGAGATTCCCCGCATCATTTTACTTTCTGTTTTTTTGTTTTTTGTTTTTGTTTTTTTTTCATATCTTTTGTTCTTTGTGTACATTTTTGCTTCTTTTTTTAATAGTCTCTAAAGTATGGAAGGTTTCTACTACGGTATTAGACCACATCCATATCGTTTTCTAGATGCACTTTGCCTGCTTCAGGTCTCTCTCTATCTCTCTTCCTTCTCTAAAACTCGTTGAGTCCTCTCGTGAAGCTGCTCTGTTCAAACCAGCAAAAACCATTCTATGCCTTATATACGGTGTCCTGTAATGTGTATTCTTCGACAAGAAAATAAAAATAAATAAACAGACACAAACAAACAAAGAGGTCACGTGTCGTCGGACTATCTTCAATTTAATTTTAATTTCTCACTTTAATCTCATTGTTTTTTCTTCTGTCCGCCCGCAATTTTCACAACCCTCGAATAGTTTACCCCCACCTCTGGAGCATTATCCTTCCCCACCAATTTGCATTCTTCCTGTTCCAGAAGAGCATCAATTTAGATACCCAAGTGAGGTCTGTGTCCGTCTTTCCACCTTCCATCCGTCCATCCAATTAGGAAAACATTCAACGCCACCACGCTCATTAATACTCCAATCATGCCAGAGTCAGGGTCAGCACCATCGAACATCAACATCAACATCAACAACCATGACCTCCCTAACTCACAACATCCTACGCAACAGAACAATCCTAGCAAGATAACAATCACAAATCCACATCAGAAACCTCCCTGTGAAGAAATGAAGACAGGAGTTGCCAATGATGATGTCGATTGGTTATTTCGTGGAAAGTCGAAAAAAATTGTCAAGAAATTGGCTTCAAGTAATGAACAAAAAGATGCAAAGCCTCAAGGTGATAGTAGCGGGGGCAAAGATGTGGTCTTAAATGGATCTAATGCAGAGAGGAGGAATTTGCAAGACGATACATCTACGCAGTCAAAAGATGGTGCAGCTAAAACGCTGCCACCACCACTACCACCATCATCATCGCTGCGAGAGCAACAACAGCAGCACCAACAGCAACAAACAAGGCGCTCAATTGATCAAACTCTGGAAGCTGTTCCTTCAGACGCAACAGCAACCAAGTCAAGAGTGGACACTGCGCCTGCTAAAACATCGACATCGCCTGCTACTTCTACTGCTGCTCCCGCTACTAGTGCAAAGCCACCATCCACGCCTGCAACCTCGCAACCGGAAAAGGCGTCAAAGTTGGATCGATTGATTGGACGCTCTCGTTCTTCTTCTGCATCTTCTGTGCAACAAACAAAGACACAACCGCCTCCTCAACCACCCGCATCTGCAATTGCAATTGCCAACAACACGAGACGCAGTAGCAGTTTTAATTTAGTTCTGCCGTCGCTAACTAGTGACTTGGTCTACAATGACCACGATGAAGCCTTACTTTCACAAAAATCCGCTGGATCATCGCCCAGTACGTCCACTACTAGCTCACCCGGCGTGACAAGATCAAACAGTGGGAAAAAGGGTTTATTCAGCTCCCTATCTTCCAAGTTTAAGAGCCTGGCCTCGTCTTCATCCCAACTACAGCAACAACAGCAAGAGCAACAGTACTCTGCTCTGCAATCACTGGCAACTAAATCTCCAGCACCAGTATCACCAAAGTTGAATCCAAGTTTACTCGGCTCAGGTGCAAACCCAAAAAGAAATGAAGACCTAATTGCTATGACAGATAAGCCACCTGCGGGCATGGGCATCCCTGCACGAAGGAGAAGCTCCAGCTCTTCTAAATCTGGCTCTGGACTGATGTTTAAAGATTCTTATCAGGATGAGAATCCAATAAGTTCGTCCCCCAACGAAGGCAGAGGGTTTTTCAGAAGGAAATCTTCAGCAGCATCCATTGCAAGAACAAACTCAACTCCAACAACGACACAACGGATGGTTTTAAACAAAAATAAGAATCGAAAACCGATTCCTTTGAAGGACTTGAAAGACGTCAAGCTTCGTCGCGTTTCTTTTGCTATTGATAAATTGGAATACGATCCTCAACAGCAGATACCTTCTAGAAGACCAAGAAAAGGGGATGTTTTAATCCCTCAGGATCTTAATGCCCCACCGCCACGATTGTGTATGGGTATTGCCTCAGTTGAGGGGAGCAAAGATGCTCAAGGACAGGCTCCACAATACAATGAAAGAGATGTCGCATTAGCCATTGAAGCACAAAAACGAGCATTAGCTGATGCTGAAAAGCATGCATATGAAGCCCATTTACAAGCTAAGCGGATTGCTCAAGAAGTCGCCAATTTTAAGCCCTCTAAGCAGAAGCTGAAGGATGGCGATGGAGTGGAAGCCGAATACGATGAAGAGGAGGAGAAAGAGATTGACGCCAAAGTGGGGCAACGCAAATTGGCACATGACGCGCAAATTGACCAGCCATTGCATGTTCACGAGCAACATTTTGAGGATGAACCTGAGCACTTGGAAAAGGGGGTGACATTGGAAACGATTTATACCAGATGTTGTCATTTAAGAGAAATTTTGCCAATACCGGCAACATTGAAACAGTTGAAAAATAAACAAGCTCCATTGGAAGTGTTGAAGATGCTCAATCCAAAGCCGACATTGATTGATGTGTTGTCATTTTCTGATTTCATCGCCATCACTCCGATCAATGCCGTAATTTTCGACAATGTCACCATGACTACCGAAATGTTGAAGATCATTTTAGGGTGCTTGTCACAAAATAAAGTGTTGGAGAAGCTTTCATTGAGGAATGTGGGTATTGATAGTCACGGATGGAGATTATTATGTGCGTTTCTAGCACAAAACAAGACGATCAAGAAATTGGACATTTCACAACAACGAATAAGGTCTGATGCTAGTCCCGATTGCATTAGAGGAAATTTAAATTGGAGGTTATTCATCCAGTCCATTGTGTACCGAGGTGGAATTGAAGAATTGGTTATCAATGGCTGCAAGTTGTCCGATGACGTGTTTTACGAGTTGATCAACAAAGCGGTCAAGATTGCCACAAGACGGTTGGGTGTGGCGGCGATTGAAATGAATTTGGCCAAGGCACAAATTGTTGCCAATTACATTAGTGACCCCAATGCTAATTGTGTTGGTGTTGATATTGCATTTAACGACTTGAGTCACGGTCAGTTGTCACCATTTATTGACATTTTCAATCGGGGCAATGACAAGTTGATGTTTCTTTCAATTAACTCGACGCATTTGAAGGATGTTAGTGAAACTGCTGAATTCTTAAAAAGCTTGATCAATGTGAAGATGTTGCGGTTTTTTGATATGAGCTCAGTTCCAAATGTGTTTCCTGAAATTATTGCATATATGGCGGAGTATTTGCCGCAGTACCCCAACTTGCGAAGACTTCATTTAGATTTGAATGAGTTATCAGCTCAGGCAATTGGGTCCATAGCCACTTTTTTGCACAAAGTTCCCAACTTGGTTCATTTATCACTTTTAGGGAATCGGAATTTGAACCATTCAGCCGCTGCAACCGTATATGCAGCAGTTAAACAATCGTCAACTTTATTTGCATTGGATCTCGATTACGATTTAGTCAGTGATGAATTATCGCAGCGAATTGCGTTTTATCTCATGAGGAATATGGATATGTCATTGAATACGCAGTACCCATTGACTTCATTGAACAAAGAGGAGGATCTAATGTATGATGGGTCATTGTTGATGGAAACGGCGGAGAAGTTGTTGACTCAAACGGATCAGTCTGAACAAAAACAAGATTGTAAAATCCAACAAATTGTGTCCAATGCCATGCTTGATAGGACCAGAGCAATTCGGAAAGATATCCACATGGCAATTGACGATTTGTTTGCAAAGAGAGCAAGAGGTCAGTTGTCGTTTGAAGGCAAGGAGAATCTAGTTCGGTTTTGTTTATTAGATTCATCATTGGAAAAGATTTTGCATACGTTTGAAGAGCATGCGCAGAAAGTGACGCCAACTGGAGGAGATGCAGTGCAGCAGCAACCACCACGACAAGAGCAACTGCAACCACAGCAACCACTGCAGCAAACACCGCTACAACGAGCACCAACACAACAACAACAACAACCACTGCAACTGCAACTGCAACTGCAATTGGAGACGGGAAGTCAACACCGCCCGCCCAAAATCAGAGTCCATCAAGAACCAGATTCATTACATCAAAGCTCTACAGAATTAATCAGTGCGGGACCCATATTATCACCTCGAGCATCAAATTTCCAACCCATATCCTCATACTTCTCTTCTAATGATGTCAATCTAACTCCCCATCAAGTTGTGGTTGAGTCCAACGATGAAGGTAAAGACGTTATAATTGACAAGATGACGGGACGACCCGTGCTCATGAGGTCAGTGAGTCAAAGCAGTTTACACGCCAAGCAACAAGAGATTGAGGAAGGTGAGTTTCATAAACTTGGTATTTTCATGCAACTGAGAGAAAACCCGACTGAAGTGAATGGGGAGGGTGGTATTAAAAAGGGTATACCGTTGTTGAATTCGTTGCCTTCGGGTTCGGAATTGAGAGATGCGATAATTGCTGCAAAGGGGATTGAAAATGTTGATGATTTGATTGACAAGATTAATACCAATAAAGTTGGTCTTGAGATATTGGATAAGGGAAGGTATGAGCAACAACAACAACTGCAGCCCCAACTGCAGCCCCAACTGCAAGTGCGACTGCAACTGCTGCTGCTGCTGAGTGAAGCTATTTCTGCACCAGTGCCGCCAGAAGTTGTTAGAGAAAAAAATGATTCTGAACAAGGCAAAAATGAAGCGTTGCATCCAGTAGTTGATGAGGTTTATGATAAATTGTTAAACGATGCTGAACGAGTTAGATCAAAACAAGATCTGCAGAGTTAGAAAAATAGAGATAAAAAAGAGACACTGTGTGATTAGCTACAGTGGTAAATAGTGTAGACGCAAAAAAAAAAATAAAAATAAAAATAAAAAAAGACTGCTTTTATTTATTTATTAAAGAAAAATAAAAAATCTCCCATTAATAATAACCTAGTTGTTAGCTTGGAATTCAGCAATCTTCTTAGCAACCTTAGCATCTCTTTCAGCCTTGGACAATTTAGTTTGTCTGTACTTCTTAGATTCAGCAGCATATTGTTCCTTGGTGAACTTCTTTTCAGTTGGCTTGAAAGATGGGTCTTCTCTGATTTTTTCATGAGCATTGGCGTAAACTTCCTCGACATCTTCAGCTTCAATTTCATCAGCAATATAGTTCTTGAACAAAGTTCTGTATTTTTCTTCGTCGTCATCCATCAATTCTTCCATGTACTCAGAAACGTGGCCACCGAAAATGTACTTTCTCAACAATTCAGCATCCAATTCCTCAGCTTCGATATCCCAACCTGGGAATCTGTTTGGAGAGTGAGGAACATACAATCCACCATCGGAAGCACCTTTCAAAACACCAAAGACTCTAGCACCAGTGGTGGTTCTTTGCAAACCAATGTCCAAAAACACCTTGAATGGTCTTGGTCCATCCTCAACGGCTTCAGTCAATTCAAACTCACCTTCAACTTCTTCAACACCTTGGTAGGTTTCGTCCAAGCCCAATTTTTGCAAGGCTCTTCTGGCAACCAACAAACCAACAGCATAAGCAGCGGACCAGTTGGTCAAACCGTGCTTGATACCATATCTTGGCAACTCGTGAGCATAAGCAGCAGTGAAAACGACATCACCAGTGATTTGAGCACTGACAATTTGGGCAATGATGTCCTTGTTGGTGAATCTAACAACCAATCTGTACTTTGGGGTGTTGTACTTGGCCTTGTGTTGAGTAACCAATCTCTTTCTTTGGTAGTAGTCGGTTTTACCTTCTTGTCTTCTACGGAAAGGAGTTTGGAATCTGGAGTGGTAAGCAGATGATTTTTGAGTCTTTTGGAAAGGCATCGTGGGATATGGTACGCTTTGGTAATGATTTGGGAAAAGAAAAGGGTAAGAATTGAGAGGTGTGAAAAATTTTTCAAATTACGAGAAGGACAAACGAAGGAGAGAGCGAAAGAGAAAAAAAAACAAAAACAAAGAAGAAAAATTTTTTTTTTTCTTCATTTTTGAAAAACTTTTTAGGTGGCTTTGCACGACATTCTGTCACGTGTAACATGGTAGCTTTGAGTGAAGAGCCCTTTTATGGGAAACTGGCTCATCTGTCTATACAAGGTTTAATCAAAGACGAAGTAAGATACTTTGTGTATATGAGCAGCAAGTAAGCAGTGTGGTACAGGAAAGCTATTACTGTTTAAACAACTTGTAGACTTCTGGTGGGACTTTAAACTAAGAGGACCCAAGAATACTGTAAGCTTGAATTAACGTGGATTTCTCTCCTTTTTTCTTTGTTTGGAGTAACTATAAAACCCAGCACCGGAGTTCGAATAACTCAATTATAGAGGTTTTTTGTTGTGTGTGTGTGTGTGTGTGTGTGTGTGTGTGTATGACGGAATCGGAGATGTATTTCATTTCAACAATTTTCAGGTCGATCTGCATATACGAAAGAAGAAATGGTTGGTAAAAAATATTCATGTTGGTGTAAACTGTTGCAAACGTACTAACCTTTTGCTGTTGTGACTGGAGATTTGTTCAGTCCCACAAAACTTTAAAGCTAATGAGGTTGGTTGAATAATCCCTGCATTTAAGTTTCTACACATTTTCCATGTTTGCAACTAAGGTAACGCATTGAAAATTACACTTTTGAAGGTCACACAGTCAGAGGACAGTTAAGTTGTGTACCGAAAGAGGAAAAGTAATGAAGGCGGAGGAGGAGTGTGTAAATGAATGTATCTCTAATTTAGTTTAACTTCTCCATCAGCGGTGGTTTATACCTGATCTGTTGGGTATCGAAAGGAGGGAAGGAAAAAGAAAACGTTTATGATACTGGGCAGCGTATCTAATTTTGTACTTTGTTTCAAGTCGCCATCTCAGTGCCCAACACTTTCCTGTTTCATTTCTTTTCGGTGGGGAGATGATGAAATTGCCAACGGTGTGAAGAGCTATATAGAACAAACGTTTATACTCCGAAGTAGTAATCTTAAAATACGTCCATAGCTAATCTTTTTTTTAAACTAGTTTATAGCTGTGTAATTGAGGAAATTAGTCCAGTATAGTTAGTTTTATTGTTTTGTTAAAGCGTTTTGACTAAACATTACGACAGGGTAAAAGAATAAAAAAAACACATAGAGTGAAATTATGGATAGATTATGATTCTTGATGATGACGTTATTGTGGGTTTTGTGGCGTTTCAAAATAATTGTATATCTTACACAAACTTTATTCCTCTTTCGAGTAACAATCTTTGACTATTCACGAAAAAACAAAATAAATGCGTGTTAAAAGAAGAAGAAGAAGAAGAAGAAAAAAGAAAGAGAAGATCTTGTTAAGGGGCATCAAGAAAGCCAATGCACAGTGTATGAGTAGACGAGGTGTATTATGGTCTATGATGACTGGTGGATTCATACACCTTGTACTCAATGGACCACACATGGAGAGATAAAATAAAAGGAGTGGTAATTGCCTCATCTCCCTCCAATCTCGTTTCTTCCTCTAGTAATATAAGAGTGTACGAATAGACGTAGAAAAGGAAAAGAGGATTGACAAATTGATTCCAAGTGTTTGTGGAAAGACATATTATTAGTATTATTATTATTATCTGTCTTACGATCCGCCTTTTCCATCTAATACATAGATATAGCACACATTAATTGTGGTTTGCCTAGAAAGAAAGAAAGAAAAAAATTTTATTATCAAAAAGGCAGATGTGTGGGTTGTGATGATAATAAAAAGTCCGAGGCGTGTAGATTGCAGATTATAGAACTAGATTGATGATGTGATATTATTATTTCGATATGATGTAATATAATAATGGATCTTATTTGTTTGCGATAAGAAAGTAATAGTAGATACGATAAAACGATGATTATGATAGCATACCACGTATATAATATATGTAAGTACTGTTAGAAGTGGTGGTAGTAAAATAATGTGACTGCATGTAACTGTGTGGCGTGTTGAATATTATAATCCGCTACCCCAGGTGTACTGAAGGAAAGAGTAACGTGCTAAAAGGCTCTTCTATGCGTCTCTCAGTTTCTCTCTGTCTTTGTCTCTGTCTGGTTCTTACCTTGTTTTTTCAGCAGATGGAAACTTCTGTAATGTAGTGAATATATGTATATATATATATATGCAAGGAATGCAAAAAAATACGGAATTCCACATTGTTTATATGCAGTATCTATTGTGATTCTTTCTCTTACTTTTTAGATTGATGTTTGTTGTTTGTTGTCTCAGAAATATTAAATATTGTTTGTATAAAGCACATATATAATATACATACATAATGTAAGCCTCGACAGAAGAAATAAATAATTAACAATAATAATAGTAATAATAATTATTTGCATATGTTTTGTTACACAAATATAACCATATATCAAAATATTGTTCTTATTGTGTTTTACCTTTTTTTCTTATTAATAAATCTTCTATTTACAGTTTCTTAATTGATGTAATATATATATATATATCTGTCTTACATTTAATTTACATCATTTCACTTTATCACTTTATTCTTCTTCTTCTTCCACGATATAACACTACAAACATCATTATCATCAATCTACTTCAACTACTCAATAACACTCTTTTCTTAGTGGTTTCAACACTACACTACACTTTTCCCAATTGATACATATACCCCCCTCCCTCCCATTTGCCACACACAATCTTTTATCTTTGTTTTTGGTTATTGTTTTTTTTATTTGTTTTCTACATTTATCTTTTTTTTCATTTTGTACACTCCCGTTACATACTTTTTAACAAAAGGAAAAATGTTGCAATCACCATTCAACTACGTTCCAAACAAGGAGAAGAAGACTCTAACGATAAGCAAAAGGTCAATGAGTCACATAATCACCAACAACAAGTCTAAGACCACTGCACCCTATACCCCACAAGCCAAGAGAAGCGCAAACTTTGACATTGTTGCAGAAGAATCTTGTACAGGTGGTACTGCACTTGATTACGGCTATGCTACTACTGCCCAACCAATTACCAGTTCTTCTTCTTCTTCTTCTTCTTGCTCACTGCGGTTGAACAACTACCGATATGACAATATGTCGATATTACACACTCCCCCACCATCTACTCACAAGCACCATCTTCATTGTCGTGAGCAACAACAACAACAACAACTGCAGGCTAAAAAGCAAAAGACTAGTGGCTATAATACAACTCAGCCACTGCCAACAATAACGTCGCCTACTCCAACACGTTCAGCCAGCAATAACAAGGAGAATAATATCCATTCCGCTTCTTGTACCTTTTTTAGTGCTCCAACAACTCCAACAACTCCGCCATCAGAACAATCTCATCCCCATCATCATCATCGTCATCATCATCATTATCAACACGATTACCATAGTAAACGCCAGCAAGTGAATACACCACCACCCACAATGTCAGCTGAAGCTAGAGCTTTATCTTTGACAGACAATAACCTATATAACGCCTTGTCTACAATGGAGACCAAGTTGAAGCTAATACAGCTCAAAATGGATAACGTTGAAGAATCGTCAACCAAAAATGATATAAATGAGTTGTTGCAGTCTACTTTGGAAGAATTGCAGTGTAATAAACGCAAACTGGAGTTGCCAAGACGCAAATTTGATGAGTTTATTATGACACCACCTCCAGTGACAACAACACCTGAATATGTTGTTGATGGTGAGCCAATGACCCCAGAAGACCAAATTATATACAAGAATGATTTGGGGTCAGCTACTCCACCACGAGCACCTTTTCAGCCATTGAGATCAGACCACTATGCATAGACATAGACATGGACTTCTATGTTGTTTTTTTACAGTTTGGATGTTGATTGGAACTACTTTTTCTTTACCACAGAATTTTACGAATTTGCAGATGAACTATTTCTTTTTTTGCTTTGGGGGGAAGTCATTTACATAAACTTTTCTTTCTTTACTTTACTTTGCTTTGTTTTGTTTTGTTTTGCTTTGTTTTGCTTTGCTATACTTTGCTTTGTTTTACTTTGTTTTATTGGTTTTTGCTTTGTTTTATTGGTTACTTTCTTATTTGGTTTCAGATTTCAGTTCTTTTTTTTATTTTGGGGGTTAGTGATGGTGGTGTTTGGTAGCTGGACTACTTGGTAACACTATATTGAAATATGGAAGAATATGTGTGTATGTACTATTATTTTGTATGCCTGTTTGTAATGATATATAATTTGTAAAAGATATCTCGGATGTAATCTCAAATTTGGCATCAAAAGTCTATTATTGTATTTACTTTTTAAATCCGGTCCGAAACGTTGTAAACACAACAATATTAACTACTTAGGGAGAGAGGGGTAGGGGAGAAGAGAGAGAGAGAGAGATAATATTGGTTATTGTTATTTGCTATTTGCTATTTGCTATTTGCTCTTGGTTGTAGATATTGTTGAAAGTTTTAAGAGCTTGTGCTTGTAATGGTTATTGTGTACATTTGATAAACTGACGCTTTCAGACAAAAATTTCAAGGCTTTTAAGTGACGTGAGAGAGGAAAAACATTTCCACTTGAAACAAAGTAGATTAAATCATGTAGCTAATCAGTTGATCAGTTTGTCAGTTACTTAGTTAATCAGGTAATCAGTCGGTCAAGTTACTTAGTTAGCCTATCAGCAGTTGTGGTGTTAATTTTGTGCAAACGCGTCTTGTGTTCTAACAACTTGCAAAGCGCAATTCCGTATCTATTAATAAACACTTTGTTTTCTAACCATACATATACTACTTATGCAAACTATATATATATATGTATATGTATATATGTATATGTATTTATATATGTATTTACGTATAGAATGTGGCAAAGTCGAAGTATTATCTGGAAAGAAAGTTTTGACGACGAGTAGACGGTAAAGTTGAACTAAACATTTGTATTTCCTAAGCCTCCGATAATGAAAGTCACAGTTTCATAACCACATTAATTAGAAAACAATACAATAGAAAAAAAAAAAAGAAAAATAGGGGGGTGGATCAAAACATGGATCGGGTCTTTGAAACACTTGACTAACAAAAGCACGGAATACCACTGCTATTGTTTTGTTGCTGTAGTGGCTATTCCAGTGATAATGAATTGTTACCGATTAGGAAATCATATCAAAAAGAATAAAAATAAAATAAATGGACAAAGCACACACAAAACAAGGGTAGTGTAAAGTATACCAAAATACCACACTTTGGGTTGGGTGCCTATACTGCCTTGGAAGATAATCATAGAACTTTTAGAGCGTGGTTCTTGAACTGGTGGTGTATCTCAAACTGGTCCATTGTTGTAGCTCTGTATACTTCTACCTCACAACGCCGAATAAGGTGGTGAACTATTGCTGGTGAAGAGATTCTCCTTAACAAAGTGTCAAGCTTATGTTCTGTATCTTTTTGCTCTACTTTTTTAAGTTTGTTATTCTCATTACGTATTTGATTGGGAGAGATTTACCAGCAAAGGTTCATAAAAGCAATCGCATTCTATACAATGGTCAATAAATCGGTGAAGAGAAAGAGATTAGGCACAGCGCTTAGTTGCAAGTAAATGTCTTTCAAGGAATGAGTAATGATGTAAATGTGATACACATAATGCAGGCTGTATTGTGTCTCGTGTGTTACTTTTGCAAGTTAAAACACCAATTTCATTCGTTTCCATGTTTTTTTGCAACAAAATTCGAAACAAACATTACAAAGGTAGAGGGGACATTGCATTCATCTTTTTCTTTAGTTCTGATAAATGTCTATATGTCTAGTGAGTAAGCTACTTAAAATAGCAAGCCGTGTTGGGGAACATCAGCTGCTTCGGTCATGGGTGGGGTGGCCTTCTTGAGTGTAGTGAAGGCTGCTTGACTAATTGATCGATTGATTGGTGGGGTCTGTGTAAAATTTTATGTACTGTTCGTGTTTTTGTGTGACATTCTCTGTTTTTTGAAGAATTTTTGGTGTTCTTAAGCAAAAACAAACAACATACAACAGCAAACAACAAGTAGAAGTAGGATGGCTTATACTAGGGTCATAGGACAAAGTTGGAGGAAGAAAGTACAGACATACATACATACATACATACATACACAAAGACAGGGGACAGATGAGAAGATGGATTAGAAAGCTGGGGACTTTAAATGCAGATCGAAGTAGCAGTTGTGGAGACATATGAACTTGTGAGAAAAAAGAGGGGACTTTTTCACTGATATCGATCAAATGGTGGCTTCCATTGCCCTTCTTGCAAGGCCAAGTTCATCCTCGTTTACTTTGTTGCTGTCTCGTAAATGAAAATACTGTGCAGTAAAGAGAACCAGAGAAACGTAGCGTGCGTTGGCATTATACTTTTTTCGAATTGCAAAGCCATCTTTCCAAAGTGCTCGCACTATGTATTGCAATATTCAACAAATGCGTAGTTCTGCTGCGGCTGTTGTTGTTGTTGTTGGAGTGGCAAGAGTTATATATCATATAATAATTGATTGTGTCTGTGTATGTGTGTCTTGGGTGTTTTCTGGTGTTTCTGTGTTACACAGCTCTCCATTTGTTCTTTGTTTATGTTTTGATTTTTTTCTCTTTCCAAACCCATCGTGGAATAATGTTACAATTCTCCTTTGAATTGCAAAAAAAAACAAAAAAAACAAAAAAAAACAACAACCAACTATCAACAAACCAAACACTTACACTCACATACTCACCCACCCACACACTTATCTGTCCCCCACACACACACACACACTCTCTCTCCTCAACAATGAAGTCATACAAGACAATCAATGATGAGAATAAGCTAAGTCACCACATCAGGGCAAAGTCTGATCGTTACAACAGTACTCATAACATCAATTCCAGTGGTACTGCTGCTGCTAGTAGCTTAGCAAACATCACAAACTCTTCCAAGATTGCATCGGGGTCCAATTGCAAGTCAACAAGACTGTCTGACTCACATTTGGGTTCACTTCAGCAGAGAGAAGTGTTGAGTGATTTAACGGCCCAGGAAAATTACAAATCGCGTCTCAAATCACAACAACAACAACAGCCATCATCATCACGCTCATCGACACATCAACCGCAGCCTCCAATTCATCATTCACATCCGTATGCTCAGTACCAATCTTATCATCAGCGCAGCAGCAGCCATGACAATAGCAACAGCAATAGCAGTATTACAAGTGGTGTGTCTACTGCCGGTCCCACATTAACCAACTCAAAATTGCAGATTTATAAACAAGCAGCGCAAAATCTCCATCATAATAAGAAACCAAGATTGGAGAAGGCCCTGCATAAAGAATTTGCCGATTATACAGATGAGGACTTGAGAATCACGTCTGACGAAGCAGCAGCAGAGTCAAGTGATGACAAGGAAAATAGACTTCCCCTGCTGCAGTACACCCACCCGACTTTGCATGTTCAGCATCAGCATCAGCATCAGAACCTGCACCTACACGACCTTCACAATAGGATATACGATGATGCAAGGCACCAAAGTGCCCAACACTTGCCATCACATTCCCATGACAAATATGAAATGCATTTCAAAGAGGAGATGGATGATGAGGAGTTTACTGATGGAGTGCCCGACAATTATGTACTCGATGAGGAAGAGTTTGATGAGGAGGATAATACTAATGATGATGATTTACGAGATCAAATGGTTATAAAACAAAGTATCACCAGAGATAGCGTGACGGAACCTTACAGCAGGAATGACGATGAACTACAAACAGAAAAGGAAGTTTCAATGGAAACAACAATCAAGCAAGGCGATAGTCTGTCCATTCACGAGGAAGACGAAGCGCATCACCACCACCACCAACAACTGCAACAACTGCAACAACTGCAAGTCACATCGAAGTCACAACTTTCAAATACCCAGAAGCGTAGTGAAACAGTCACTCCCATGAAGCCATCCTGGGACCTATCCATCAAAATGGAGTTGAAAAGAATAGTGGACAAGTATTCGAGAACAACCTTGGATGAAAATGACGAAGATACTTATGACGCTTCAATGGTTGCAGAGTATGCTCCCGAAATATTCAATTATATGCGCAGTTTGGAGGAAAAGTACAAACCAAATCCATATTACATGGATGTTCTACAAGATGAATTGAGATGGGGCATGAGAGCAGTGTTGATTGATTGGGTGGTTCAAGTCCATGGCAAATTCAACTTACTCCCCGAAACCCTTTTCCTTACTGTCAACTACATCGATCGATTTCTTTCCAAGCGTAAAGTGTCATTATCCAGATTCCAATTAGTTGGCGCGGTTGCATTTTTCATTGCTGCCAAGTACGAAGAGATTAATTGTCCAACTGTACAAGAGGTGGCATTCATGGCAGACAACGCATACACCATTGATGAGTTTTTAAAAGCCGAAAGATTTATGGTTGATGTTCTTGAATTTGATATGGGGTGGCCAGGACCAATGTCGTTTCTTCGACGTACATCCAAAGCCGATGATTATGACTACGAAACGCGTACATTGGCCAAATACTTTTTGGAGATTACAATAATGGATGCACGGTTTGTTGCATCTCCGCCTAGTTGGTTGGCTGCTGGCGCTCATTACCTTTCGCGTGTTTTATTGAGTCGTGGTGAATGGACAGAGGCGCATGTCTTTTATAGTGGATACACTGAACGGCAATTGCGACCATTGGCGGAACAATTGTTGGAAAACTGTCGGTATGCCGAAAAGAACCACAAGGCTATTTTCGAAAAGTATCTGGAGAGGAGATACAGAAAGAGTTCGTTGTTTGTGAAGGAGTATTTTGAAAACTTTTGAGGGGGAGAGTCGATGTTTTTTTTCTTCTTTTGGATGCATGTGTGCAGCTTCAGAGGTGATGGAGCCTTCTAGACATTAATGCGCAGTCATATTGTCAGTGTTTCTACTATTTAATAGGATATCAACCTGTATGATTATATTTAGTCGACAGAGCGTTATCTGTGTGTGAGANCTACTATTTAATAGGATATCAACCTGTATGATTATATTTAGTCGACAGAGCGTTATCTGTGTGTGAGAACGCTCTGTGTAAAGTTTTGTTTGTGCAACTGACGCGTGTGAGATTGCACCAGAAAAAGAAAAGAAAAAAAAAAAACAACCTTTTGATGCCATACAACCTCAACAGCATCTGCGTACAACCAATGACACTTGTATGGAATAAGCTTGCTCTCAAAGAAACAGAGGTGAGTCTTGCAAAGGTTTTGCGATGCGGTCAAACATTCAGATGGAAGAGTATAAATAACGTATGGTCTTTTGCCATTCTGGATAGAATCGTCTTGCTAAAACAAGATCAAGATCATATTTACTACTCACAAGTATTGGCGAAACTGGAAGTTGGCAGAGTTAAAGGAGACGTTTCACAAGCCACCCTTGGCTTTATCCAAGACTACTTTGCGCTTGATGTCAAGTTGACTGACTTGTATCAGGAATGGAAATTGAATCATAAACCATACATCACTACAAAAGTCAAACAACAACAATCACCATTTGACCTATTCAGCGGCATACGTACCCTCAGGCAAGATCCATGGGAATGTTTAATCTCCTTCATTTGTTCCTCAAACAACAATGTCAAGCGAATTCTGAAAATGTGTGATAATTTATGTATACAATTCGGCAACTACATCAACGATTACGAAGGAATTCCATTTTATTCTTTCCCTACCCCACAACAACTATCCTCTGACCCTTCAGTCGAGCTGAAGTTGAGAGAATTGGGATTTGGATATCGGGCAAAGTACATTTATCAAACGGCTTGTAAATTTACCGATGATGACACATACCCCCATATAAACCTAGCTCACTTGATGCAACTACGTCAGTGTTCGTATGAGGAAGCTCATGAGTTTTTGCTACAGTTGACTGGTGTGGGGCCCAAAGTTGCCGATTGTATATGTTTGATGTCATTGGATAAATCAAATGTCGTCCCTATTGACACGCATGTTTACCAAATTGCCGTACGTGATTTCAAATATAGAGGCGGTGGAAAGCGAGAGATGAAGACACTTAGTAAAGCCATGCATGATGATATAAGACGGTTTTTCCAGGGTATTTTTGGTGATTATGCTGGTTGGGCCCAGTCGGTGTTGTTTGCTGCTGATTTAACTGATTTGAACAATGGGGTTAATATCGTTGAGACGAAGAAGGAAAAAGAGGTGTCTGGTAAGGAGAGTAAGGTGAAGATAAAGACTGAAGAGGAAATTAAGATACTGAGTGCTGGTAGCAAGAGGACAAAAACGATAAAGCTAGAATCCAACAATAAGAGGGTCAAAACCATAAAAGCCGATTTGACAACTGTTGTCAAATCGTAATACAAAAATTTTATCAATTTGAATAGAAGTGGATGTATATTTAAATTATATTACATGAAAGAATCTGTAAAGTAATGGCCATGAATCGTAATCATTCTGAATGTTATTACACACCACACTCCACGTAACCCTGCATTCATTCCCCCTCTATTGCATGTGTGCAATCTATTCTTTCCCTCTTTCTCTCTCTCTCTCTTTTTCTAATTCCTCAAGGGGCATCCTTCGCTTAATCGAATAAACCGAATCCCATATCGTCATCAGATTCTTCCTTTTCTTCTTCAGCTGGGGCAGCACCAGCGTCATCACCAGCGGCAGCGGAAGCACCACCAGCGGTGGCAGCACCACCAGCTGGAGCAGAGGCAGCGAAAGAGAACAACAATTCCTTCAAGTTCTTACCTTCCAAAGCCTTGGCGAAAACATCGGCCCAAATGGAGTCAACTTGAGCTCCGGCAGCCTTGGTGATGGCTTGCAATTTGTCTGAAGTGATTTCTTGCTCAGCGTCAGCTAAGATCAATGCAGCGTACGAGATTGAGGATTCTGAAGACATTGTATGTTTTGTATTGCGTGGTTGTACTTGGTTGTCGTAAGGGCTCCTTTAGTTGTGTGGATGATTTTTTTTCACTACTCACCTAGATGAAACTTAGAACGCGCGTGATTATAGCCCTAATCACGTGCTAGATTGCAACAAAGTATTGCAGCGAAGATCCTCCTACATTTGATGATAGACAAATTTATGACTCGATAAGTTGTGCTTGCTGAGCAGGTTGTGAATCAAAAAGAGCTCTACTGAATCATGTGCATAGATAGAATAGTGGCACAGAGACGTGCAGCATCGAGGTGATGTATCGGGGGAAAGGTTGAGTCTTACCCGGTGGGTCCCACCCAGTTTGTTAATACAATAGAATTTTGCTCTAGCGACCGTTTTTTGGCCTATTTCGAAACTGATAGCTGGCCTATCTGACGCAGTGGAGCTTATCAGAAGTTTCAGTAACTCAGAAGTTGTTTTAATCATCATAGTGCGTACTCAAGCGCATTTAGCTTGCAAATTGCATTCATAGAAACCACCACGTCTGCAATGGCTATTAGAAGTTGAGATCAAGTGATCTTGTAACTTCATTGCTTTGTTACCTTAAAGAATATGAATGCTTCATATTCTTGCAGAACTTGAAAGGTCCTCGCGTTTATCTAAATGTGCATCTCGAAATTTTGCGCGATCACAAAGTTGAAGGATCAATAGGCAAAACCCATCTTCCGACGTCTGCCTTTCCTCTCCCCTTTATTTTTCAGCTCTGCAAACACTGCATATAAACACCGAAGCGCAGCGAATGACAACAACTTCAAAAACAACGGACCCCCGTCAGCTTCATGACTCACCGAAGCCATTGAACCTTTCAAACCCGATACGGCTTGCTTTTCTCGGAGGGGCTAGAGCAGGGAAGTCAGCAATGATTTCGAAGTTATTATTAGGTAACTTTCGAGAAACCTACTACCCAACTACCCATCTCAACCCCAATCTATTTAACTATGAGCCGTCCTCCGAGAAAGCAAGAGATATATTGCAGGGCAAAGTATTGACCTCAAACCCGCATTTACACCTACCAGCAAGCATCAAAGACAACAGCACCCTTGTAACCAACAACAAGAGCATATTTAAAAAGAACCAGTACTACACTTCACTGTCCTTGGGGACCTCGCCGATTCTAGTAGAGCTCATAGACACACCAAGCTACAATCCTGACAAGATAGTGCCCTACTTGGAAGCATCACTTTACACCAATCTTGACAAAGATGTGTTGCACAACCTTGCCAATGAGCCACGTCGACCTGTCTCAACCAGTCCACTTTTGGTAGCCAGTGGAGCCAGTGAGTTGAATGGAGACATCAATGGTTATTTTCTTGTATACAGTGCTATTCCAAGTTTTGCACCGCCAGGGTATGACGAGAACGATGCTGGTGGACTCCCCAAAAAGCACACGTTCAACCTTCTACCCTCAATCAAAGCAGCACTAGACGACGCATGGGAAGAGTACGTCACGTTCAAAGAGAATTGGAAACGTGGCCAAGAGGAGGATGTATTTTCATTCAAGAATGCATTGAAAAACTTTTGGAAAGCAAACGACTCCAGTATTCAAGAGACCGCCTCTGCCCAGGTCAAGCCAAAATCCAAATCTCCACCTATTTGGATCGTCTGCACCCAAGTAAACAGCGACCTAGCTTCTAGTCAGTTGATTTCAAAGGGTAAGCAGTTGAGTATAGAGTGGAACTGCGGATTTATTGCTATTGATTGCTTGAATGATATTGATGAAGTCTTGTCGTTGATGATCAGGGACATAGTTTTGGGAAAGAAACTGTAAAGCATAGACGTTAAGGCATACTACGGTTAAGCAGCTTACTGGTGTTGGAACATCCAATGAACATTGATTATTATACCTCGAAACAATCATATTCATCATCTGATCCGTTGCACAATTGTTTGAAAGATTGTCACCAAGTCGATGGGGGAAAGACTCAATGCTGGACATTTTGCATTTTCGACGAGCGAATAAACCGACTTGACAACGGCGCATCTCCTCGAAAACTCCCTTTAAGAAAGCACACCTCAGTTTACCATTCTTAGTCGAGCAACATTCACTTTGCTTCCCAATTCAAACTTGATGAGTGAGCTTGCTCTACAGCTCCCTTCGTAAACACACTCAACATTCAACTTAGTCAGAGAAGCAGTATGAATAGGATACTCTGCGAAACAAATTGCATCTTATGGTATTCAATCAAAAAAAAAAAAAAACAAAAAAAAACACCCCGACAACATCTCTTATCTTATATACAAGCTACTTCATGTGATACACATCTAGTTTAAAAATTTAGAAACAGCATTGAGCCAAGTTCTGTATTCACCTTCTTCCTTGTAGTCACTAAATGCCACAATGAAATCAGCCAATTCATTATCAATACCTTTAGAAACCAAGTAATTTTCAAATTCAGTTTGCAAACTTTCGTCCAACTCGGCAAATTTTGGTCCTTGATACTTGAACTTGTCAATAAACTCATTCTCTTCCTTGATGGCGTTGATAAATGATTTAACATCTTCTTGAACATTGACGAAATCAATCATAAAAGAGGACTCGGTATTTTGCAAAAACAAGTTCAAAAACAAACCTGAGTTGCTTGATGGATTTTCAACAAGGATTTTCACGTTGCACAACAATTGGTCCAATTGATTAGCCTCTTCCTCCAAATCGCCAGATTCCAAGGCTGCCAAGTCTTCAGTGGGGATGTCTGTGACTTCATCAATGTCAAAGTAGACATGCAAGATATTTCCCGTGTCAGCGTCCTTTTTCACCAATTCAACGCTGGCAGTGCCTGGAGCAGAGACAACTTCAAATCCACTGGTATGTAAGTAGTCTTGGTACACCTGATCCAATTCATTTGGAATGGCTTCAGAGATTTTGCTCTCTGCTTTCACAACTTCATTCAAGGCTGCCTCTGGGCTTTGGTTGAGTATGACTGAGGATTGATGGAATGATCTGATGGAAAGAGTGGACATTGCTTTTGGGCATGATTTGAGCAATGATCTGGTATTGAATCTTGAAGATTGAAGTGCAACTCTTTTAGCTGCCACTGAACGTAATGTAGATGGGAACGCTTTCAACATTGTAGTTTGTAGTTGGGAGGTAAAGACTGTAGTACTTGAATGTAGAAGAGAGAGAGGCAGAAAAGAATGGGTGGGTTTTCGTTTCAGTGATTGGATTTTCTGTAAATGAGAAGAGGAAGGGGCGAACGAGTGCGTGCGTGTGTGTGTGTGTGTGTGTGTGTGTGTGTGTGTGTGTGCGTGTGTGCACAATACAGATGCTATGTGCTACCAAACTCTGGTGTAAAAAGAAAAAAAAATATGACACATGACGAATACACGACACTCATACTTAAGTTGCGTTAGTCTTACTTTATTTTTTTTTTTCATTTTCCATTTTTCGCAGTACATACACAAGCATTATAAACAATATTACTTTATGTATTCTTCTTGGACTTTATGCAAGGCTCAGAACCCACATTCTTTGTATCACTAGTCGTATGTCTATACAATATCCAAAAATAAGGAATAGATTCTGGCTCCCTCCCACAACTCGAAGTACCCCCGCTAACATCAATTTCTAGAGTGGTGCCTGCGCCGGGACCGCCACTGATGTGGCATTCTTTCCAATTGACACCATAAAAACAAGACTACAAGCCAAAGGCGGGTTCTTTCGCAACGGAGGCTATAAGGGGATTTACCGCGGGCTCGGATCGTGTGTAATTGCGTCAGCACCATCGGCATCACTTTTCTTTGTCACATATGATACAATAAAGCGGGAATTGGAACCTCACGTTTCTTCGCCCAGCTATCGCCATATGATTGCTGCCTCTGTAGGTGAAGTCATGGCTTGTATAGTGCGAGTTCCTGCAGAAGTTATCAAACAACGCACCCAAGCCAGTCATATGGGCTTGACCTCAAGCTGGTCCAACTTTAAGCATATTTTGACCAACGACAAACACCAGAATGGGATATTACGAGGACTCTACAGGGGATGGAATAGTACAATAATGAGAGAAATTCCATTCACTGTTATCCAGTTCCCTCTCTACGAATGGTTGAAATCCAAAGCATGGTCCAGGAGTAATGATACCAATTCAAGTCCTGTTTCAATGGGGTTGAAAGGAGCCCTTTGCGGGATGTTGGCTGGGGGTGTTGCTGCTGCACTCACCACGCCTCTAGATGTGATCAAGACAAGAATCATGTTGAGTTCTGGCACTGTTGATGTTGGTCACATAATTTCTCAGTTAATTAAGGAGGAGGGTTTGTCAAGTTTTTGGAAAGGTGTTGTGCCAAGAACGTGTTGGATCAGCTGCGGTGGTGCAATATTCTTGGGATGTTATGAGCTAGTTCGTGATGAAATGATGAGGATATGATAGAATACAACTTGATAGAATATGTATATAGAGTTAGAGACACAATCATTAGAATCGATAAAGAAACTGACTCAATTTATTCTAAGTCTAAATATTGGTCGGTGAAGCAGTCTTAATGAAGCCCTCACTTGTTATACTTGTTGATCAATTCCACTGCCAACTCAATGTACTTTTTTTCTGCTTCTTCTTGTGGAGTACCTTCCAAATCCTTCCAGCTTTGCCATTTGTACTTGCCCTTGAAATCAAAGGTACCCGGTTTGTCAGTGGTATTGTCACCAATAGTTGCCTGTTTGTAGAGACCGTAAAGCTTCAACAATTCGTCATCAGATGGTCTTTTAGCCAAGTTGGAAACGGTGTTTGCCTAATGGTTATGGGCTTGTTAGTACTCACATATGCCGCATTGAAGTGGGATGCGATCGAGCCAGTCAACCGCTCAATAGCTGTAACGTTTATCCACATACTTTCTCTTCGAATTCTGCTGATACCATTGTGGTTGGATTATCAATCGATAAAAGCTTATGTGCTTAAAAGTGATGGGAAATAAATACGAGTAACTTTCAATTTTCCCTTGATTCTGTTTGTTTTGTTGTCCTTTTTATATTACGCAGCCACACACATCACATCATTGCCAACAAAAAAATGTTGAGAACATTCTAGCACACTTTTCAATTTTCTTTGTTATCTTCTCCTCGAAGCTAAAGAAGATGGACGGGGATGGTGGTACCGGCCTTTTATTAATATCTGGATGTGTGGCCACGCAAAGTTTGATTATTCGGCGGATACCACACAAATTTTCTTCTTTCAACACACAAATAAAACAAACCATGCCTCTATAGTATTTTGTTTCCAGAAAATATCTTCCTTTTCGTAAGTTATAGAATGGGGTATCCCGGTAATCGTACCTAGGTTGGGAGTGGAGACGAAGACATAGTGGGAAGAAGTTCTCATTATAAACAGAGTCACTTGGACTATGTCACGTGAACCTTTTTTTCCATTAATTGCATCAAAGGAGTTTTCGATGGTTGCAAAGGAAAGATCGAAACAATGATATTGAAGCGTATGTAGTTTGTTGATAGATATAGCCTACAGATGAAGTACCTGTGCTTTACTTGCCTGTGTATCGGGACATTGCACTATTGGCTATGGTTTTGAGATTGTTTTCCAGATGCAAGAGTGTTGGTGAGAGTGTTTATATGCAATCGCCTTATTGTAAGTCTACTTTCTGTGCCACTAATTGTTCAACTACTTTCTTTGGTATGCTGGTAGATATAAACGAGTCCTAATTGTAGATACAAAGAGGGGGGGTGAAGAATTCTTGGGGAAAAAGGTCATTCATGAAATTGCAAAAACCTCTAGTCAAGAAAGAGAAACAACTTCCAATACGTGGCTTTTCAAAATGTACTTAGTAGTAGAAGAAAGTAATGATACAAGGGCCTTGAGTTGGTGGGAGTGGCAATTTGCAATAAAACACTCAGACCATTTCAACCTTTATTAAGAGTTTTCATATTAATTGGTGGTTGATCCACACACACACACTCACACTCACATGTGGAGTCTAGCTTGCAACTCACCTTGTTTGCCAGTAAGTAACCCCCCACAGGCAAGTATATGGCCCTCGTATGAACCCACCATCTTCCAGGGTGAATTGGTAGACTATAAGGTAACGTCCACAACTCTGGTGGTGCTGGATTGACGCTTTTCCACTCATACAAATTCAAGACAGCCAACCACGCCTTACCCCAGTGTGGGTTTTTTTTATAGCACCTCCCAAATCGGTGTAAAGTTTTTCTAGCCTTGATTAGAACTGGATGATCAGCAGCCAATCCCAACAATCGGAGACACAAATAATTCATCGTAGTGCCAAAACAAGTAGACTTGTCAGCTGAATGCAACCTTCAACAAAAAGTCTGTACTCCTTTGCATCGCTGCAGAGGGAGTTTCGATTGCACTAGCTGGGTGTGGTACATCATCCGTTTCTGAAATCACCTCACAAATGTTGACTTTGGTTTCTGATTCACTTCTTCCGGTGCTACGTAGTGACACATCTCCCTATCCACTGGGTCTGGTTCTAGTCTCCATCTCGACTTATCTGTCCTTGGCAAGTCAAGTTCCTTTGGGTAATACATGCTTGTAGCAGCCTCGATTGAAAAAGTGAGAGCCGTGCCAATTTTCTGGAATAATTGGCATTTTCGACTGCTAGATTCATCAGTGTGTATCAGTTTTGACCAGTTTCAAACAAAACATCTCCTCGGGGGGGGGGCTTTGCCAATAGCTTGTAGCTTGTTTGAATGGACGCCAACAAAACAGACACAACGGCCACTGATTTCAAACAGTCTTTGAAAGCAATAAGAAGGATCTGAATAGTGAAAAGATTAAGTCAAGGTGTGGAGGGCTTTGGGGTGGGTTGGATGGTGAAAGTTGCATTGAGTTTCCCCACGTCATTGTTTATCTGAGTGCTGGACAAGTACCACGCAAAAAAAAAAGACAAAAGAGAATGGCATTTTTTTCTATCTCAACCTCTAAAAGAGGTTAGTATCTGTAACGAGTACCGTTTAAAGTAGAAACCTTTACAATACAATATATTGGGCTCAGGAGAAAATCCGTCTTAAACTTGTGCGTTGAGAAAGGGTATATGTATTGCTGCAGTTTTGACAAATTTGCNATTTTTAAGCATCTTGCTCCATTTTGAGGTTTTCAAAAATTGCACTACTTAGCACACTATACTAAACTGGCATTTTTTTTCCATCTCAACCTCTAAAAGAGGTTGGAATCTGTAACGAGTACCGTTTGAAGTAGAAACCTTTACAGTACAACATATTGGGCTCAAAAGGAAATTACACTTAGATTTTCAAAGGGAAGTTACTGATCTTAATATAAAGAACATTAACTTTTGTAGGGGTGTACAGCCCATAAACAGAGCTTAAAAGTACGACCTT